GAAAATTATTCATAGCAATTCTACACACACACACACACACACACAAACACACACACACACATGCACGAACACTACATGCATACATAAATACATACATGAGAGAATAAAACTAAGGGCTGGGAAGGTGGCTCAGTGGTAGAGTGCTTGCCTTGCATGCATGAGGCCTTGGGTTTGATTCCTCAGCACCACATAAGCAGAAAAAGCTGGAAGTGGCACTGTAGCTGAAGTTGTAGAGCACTAGCCTTGAGCTGAAGAGCTGAGGGATAGCGCCTAGGCCCAGAGTTCAGACCCCACAGCCAAAACAAACAAACAAACAAAAAACTAATAGATTATATAGGTAGTTCTAATCTCTACAGGAATATGGAATATGAGTTCAAATTAAGAAATTCAGATCTGGGGGGTGGGGGAGGCTGGGAAGGGATGGGAAAAGGAGGAGGCTACAATGCTTGATAAGAAATGTAGTCATCGGAAGTGGCGCTGTAGCTCAAGTGGTAGAGTGCTCGCCTTGAGTTGAAGAGCTGAGGGACAACGCCCAGGCCCAGAGTTCAAGCCCCACGACCGACAAAAAAAAAATGTAGTCATTATCTTGCCCATCTAATTGTAACCCCTCTGTACAGTATTTTCACAATAAAAAATAAATAAAAAAAAAGAAATTCAGATCTATGTAGAAATGAGTAATTTAAAAGAAAGTAACAGATTTCAAGGAGCAGCTACATGCTGGAGGCAGCAGCCCAAGTGTCTGTAGTTCAAAGCTGGCTTGGGAGCCGGGCATTGTGGCTCATATCTGTAATCCTAGCTACTCAGGAGGCTGAGATCTGAGGATCGTGGTTCAAAGCCAGCCCAGGCAAGAAAGTCCGTGAGACTCTGATCTCCAATAAACCCCTAGAAAACTGGAAGTGGCGCTGTGGCTCAAATGGTAGAGTGTTCGTCTTGAGCTGAAGAGCTGAGGGACAGCGTCCAAGCCCAGAGTTCAAGCCCCAGGACCGAAGGGGAAAAAAAAGCTGGCTTGGTCTAGGTAGTGAGACTGAAGCCTCCCCCAAAAACTACTGAATAAAACAAGTAAGCATTGAGATTGACAATGAGGACAATAAATACCCTGAGATACCCTGAGGCCTGTTGACTTTTCTGGCTGTAATCTGAATTCAGTCTTACACCCTAGGGTTAAGAGGTGTCAACAGGGAAGTGCACAAAAATCTCTCCTACTGTTATGTTAATTTAACCTATTTCCTTAAATCATTTACTTTTGCTTTTTGTGTCATTGTGTATTTGTCTTTTTGAGATGGGGTCTCCAGATTTGTCTCCAGCTAAGTCAGGCCTCTAACTCTAGATCCTCTGGTCTCTATATTTCTAGTGCTAGGATCTCAGAGGAGCCACTTCCCCTACCTCTAGCTCCAAATTCTTTTGATATATCTGCTATTTAGGCTCAAGTGCTCTGCCAACTGAGCCATGCCTTTACACCCAGTCCTTGGAGTAGTCCTGGGGATTGAACTCAGGGCCTGGGTGCTGTCACTGAGCTTTTTTTTTTTTTTGGGTGTGGTCGTGGGGCCTGAACTCTGGGCCTGGGCCCTGTCCCTCAGCTCTTCAGCTCAAGGCTAGCACTCTACCACTTGAGCCACAGTGCCACTTCCGGCTTTTTTCTTTTTTCTTATGTGGTGCTGAGGAATCGAACCCAGGGCCTCAGGCATGCAAGGCACGCGCTCTACCACTGAGCCATCTTCCCAGCCCTAGTTATTTTTTCTTAAGTGCAGCCTCTTAAAAGAGAGAGAGAGAGAGAGAGGAAGAAAGAAAGAAAGAAGAAAGAAAGAAAGAAAGAAAGAAAGAAAGAAAGAAAGAAAGAAAGAAAGAAAGAAAGAAAGAAAGAAAGAAAGAAAGAAAGAAAGCAGACAGACCTGGGCACTGGTGACTCCTAGCTACTCAGGAGGCTGAGATCTGAGGATCATAGTTCAAAGCCAGCCAAGGCAGGAAAGGCTGTGAGACTCTTATCTCTAATAACAACCACTAGAAATGGTGCTGTGATTCAAGTGATACGGTGCTCACCTTGAGCTAAAGAACTGAAGGAAGCCGGGCGCTGGTGGCTCACGCCTATAATCCTAGCTACTCAGGAGGCTGAGATCTGAGGATCCCGGTTCAAAGCCAGCCCGGGCAGGAAAGACCGTGAGACTCCTATCTCCAATAAACCACCAGAAAATCGGAAGTGGCGCTGTAGCTCAAGTGGTAGAGCGCTTGCCTTGAGCTGAAGAGCTGAGGGACAGCGCTCAGGCCCAGAGTTCAAGCCCCACCACCGACAAAAAAAAAAAAAAAAAAAAGAACTGAAGGAAAGGTGGCTGGGAATGTGGCTCAGTGGTAGAGTGCTTGCCTTGCATGCATGAGACCCCAGGTTCAATTCCTCAGCACCCCATAAACAAAAAAAGTTGGAAGTGGCCTTCTGGCTCAAGTGGTAGAATGTTAATCTTAAGTTGAAGAGCTGAGGGACAGTGCCTAGGCCAAGATTCCAGGCCCCACACTGACAAAAAAAAAAAAAAAAAGTAAGAACTGAAGGAAAGCCAGGCGCCGGTGGCTCACACTTGTAATCTTTGCTACTCAGGCTCACGGCAAGGCAATCCTAGCTACTCACGAGGCTGAGATCTGAGGATCATGGTTCAAAGCCAGCCTGGGCAGAAAAGTCTGTGAGACTCTCATCTCCAATAAACCACTGGAAAACTGGAAGTGACTCTGTGGCTCAAGCAATAGAGCACTCTCATTGAGCTGAAGAGCGCAGGGACAGTGTTCAAGCTCCACAACTGACCCCCCCCAAAAAAAAAACTGAAGGAAAGTGCTCAGGCCCAGAGTTCAAGCCCCACAGCTGACCAAAAAAAAAAAAGGAAGGAATAAAGAGAAAGAGAGAGAGAAGGAAGAAAATAGGGAAGGAAAGAAGGAAGGAAGGAAGGAAGGGAGGAAGGAAGGAAGGAAGGAAGGAAGGAAGGAAGGAAGGAAGGAAGGAAGGAAGGAAGGAAGGAAGGAAGGAAGGGAGGAAGGAAGGAAGGAAACTAAGCATGGTAGTTCATGCCTGTAATCCTAGCTACTCAGGAGGCTGAGCTCTGAGAATCACACCTCAAAGCCACCCTGGGCAGAAAATTCTGTGAGACTCTCACCCCCGATCAACCTCCGCAAAAAGACAGAAGTGGATCTGTAGCTTAGTTGATAGAAATGCTAGTCTTGAGCAAAACAGCTCAGGGACAGCACCCAGGGTTCTGAGCTCAAGCTCCAGGATAGGCACAGGCACATACAAAAAAATCAAGTAAGCCCGGTACTGGTGGCTCATGCCTGTAATTCTAGCTACTCAGGAGACTGAGATCTGAGGATCATTGTTCAAAGCCATCCTAGGCAAGAAAGTCTGTGAGACTCTTATCTCCAATAAACCACTAGAAAACCGGAATGGAAGTGTGGCTCAAATCGTAGTGTTAGCTCTGAGCTGAAGAGCTCGGGGATAGTACCTAGGCCAGCAGTTCAAGCCCTACGACCAAGCAAAAACAAAACAAAGAAAAAACTCAAATATAATTAATTAATTGGAGAGAATCAATGTCGTACTTACACTTTTAAGGTTGTTTTTCTTTTTCTATTTTTTTTTTTTCTTTTTTTTTTGGGTCCGGTCGTGGGGCCTGAACTGTAGGCCTGGGCGCTGTCCCTCAGCTCTTCAGCTCAAAGCTAGCGCTCTACCACTTGAGCCACAGCGCCACTTCTGGCTTTTTTCTTTTTTCTTATATGGTACTGAGGAATCAAACCCAGGGCCTTGAGCATGCAAGGCAAGCACTCTACCACTGAGCCACCTTCCCAGCCCTAAGGTTGTTTTTCAAATAAACAATATACCTTGCAGCATGTTTTTAACTCTTTGGGGGAGTAATTAGATAGTAAGCATAAGGGTAGAAATAATGACAAACTTCTTATTCCAGAGTTATGCTTATATGGGCCAGAGTTGTGTTTTTAGTACATTTGGCAGACTTTTCTCTTTTCTTTTGCCAGACCTGGGGCTTGATCTCAGGGTCTGGGCATTGTCCCCTGAGCTTCTTTTGCTCAAGGCTAGCACTATCACTTGAACTACAGTGCCACTTCCAGCTTTTTCTGTGTATGTGGTACTGAGGAATGGAACCCAGGGCTTCATGCATACAAGGCAAGCACTCTACCACTAAGCCACCTTCCCAGCTCGGCAGATTTTTCTTAGAAGTTTGTATGTAGGGCTGGGAAGGTGGCTCAGTGGTAGAGCGCTTGCCTTGCATGCCTGAGGCCCTGGGTTCGATTCCTCAGCACCACATAAGCAAAAAGAAAAAAGCCGGAAGTGGCGCTGTGGCTCAAGTGGTAGAGTGCTAGCCTTGAGCTAAAGAGCTGAGGGACAGTGCCCAGGCCCAGAGTTCAGGCCCCACGACTGGACTAAAAAAAAAAAAAAAGTTTGTATGTATAAACAATTCACTCTTGTATTTACCCTCACTTAAAGGTTAAAAACAAAACAAAACTGGAAATAAGTTGTATTGGTTTTCTTCTTCACATCCCAGAGAATTGTTTTGTATGAATGCTGTAGTTGAAAGAGTTCATGCTTGAGGTATTAAAGTTCTTAGGTTCTCTCTTATTTGGAGATATGTGTGTGCATGCATGCACACACACATCCCACACTCCACTTAATTTATATTTAACAGAATTCCAGGATTACATGTTCCTGACTTACTGTAATTCTCGGTCTTTGCTGGACTTTTACTTTCTAAGCAGGCCCTTTAGGCCTAACTGGCTTTGGGCCAGTTCCAAGATGTTAGCACATAAGGCTGGAGTGCCCGTGGGTTCGGTGTTGGCACCACCCACCGGGCGCGGGTACCAATCACAGTCCCTGTGGGTGATGGACTGCCCAGCACAGCCTTAAGTCTGATTGCGGTCACTGCTGGACCTTGGCGATTGGTCCAGGGGGAAGGCGCGCAACCAATGGGAGCCACAGCTCGCGAGAGTCTGGAGCGCGCGGGAAAAGGACCCATATAAACAGAGGCGGGAGAGTCACTTTCGGATCCGTGGCCACTGAATCACCCTCCAGTAGCCCTTTCTCTTGTCTCCTTCTGTTAGAACATGGTGCGGACTAAAGCAGACAGTGTCCCAAACACCTATAGAAAAGGTGAAGTGATGGAAGCGCGGGAGGAAAGAGTATGGGGGGGGGAGGCGCCTTCCTGTCCGTGGGTACACGGAGTGGAGATCCCCGGGCTCTCTTACCCACTGCACCTAACTCCAGCCTGGAAGCAGCTGCCTGGCCTCTCATCGGGCCTCTTGCTCTTCTGAGGATCATGGGCTCTCCACTCCCAACACTAGGTCTGATACTGCGTGTCTGAACCTTTCCAGTCTGATTTTACACTCATCCACTCCTCTGCCTTTCTTTGCAGTGGTGGCTTCCCGTGCTCCCAGGAAGGTGCTTGGTTCCTCCACCTCTGCCATCAACTCTCCATCTCCTTCATCCAGGAAAGGTAAGGAGTGCGCTTAGGTGTCTGGGGGCAAGAAAACTCTGAAATGGGGTTTGGAAGCTTCAGGTCTCCCCAACAGAAACTGGATTTATACTCTTGCCTCCACACACCCCTAGAATTTTACTTGGGGTCCTCACACTTAAATTTCTTCCTTCCCTTCTAAGAGGGGAGCCTTGGGCTTATAAAGCAGGCTGGGATGGGTGGGGAGAGTCCTTATGGAAGAGAATCTCAAGTGGAGTTCCACTATTTTTTTTTTTTTTGCCTGGCCTGGGGCTTGAACTCAGGTCCTGGGCACTGTCCCTGAGCTTCTTTTGCTCAAGGTTACCACTTGAGCTATAGTGCTACTTATGCTTTTTTTGGGGGTCCAGTTGTGGGGCCTGAACTCTGGGCCTGCGCGCTGTCCCTCAGCTCTTCAGCTCAAGGCTAGCGCTCTATCACTTGAGCCACAGCGCCACTTCCAGCTTTTTTCTTTTCTTTTTTTTTTTTTTTTTTGCTTATGTGGTGCTGAGGAATTGAACCCAGGGCCTCATGCATGGAAGGCAAGTGCTCTACCACTGAGCCACCTTCCCAGCCCCAAGATTTATTCTTTTATGAATGATGCTGGGTATTGAATCCTAGGCCTTGTTCATGCTAGGCAAGTGCTCTACCACTAAGCCATATCCCCAATCCTTGTCTTACATTTTTCTGCTTTTGTTCTACATGTGTTTTCCTCCCTCCCTTCCCCTCTCCTTCCATGTCTTGGACTCTCCCTCTTGGTCCTTCACTCCCCCCCCCCCACTCCCCTGCTTTTTTCTGCCAGTCCTGGGGCTTGAACTCAGGGCCAGGGTGCTATCCCTGAGCTTCTTTGCTCAAAGCTAGCACTCTACCTCTTGAGCTACAGCACCACTTCTGGCTTTTTTTAAATGTGATACTGAGGAATCAAACCCAAGGCTTCATGCATGCTAAACAATCACTCTACTACATTCCCAGTGCGTCTCTTTGAATGTGGTGTCTTTGTATTTTCTAACTTTGTAGTACCTGATACTACAGGTAAAAGAAATAGCTTCATACTGTCCTATTGCCTGGGAGCAGATGAGAAAATGTCTTGCCATTGGATGTTACAATCCTTTCTCTAGAAGTTGATCAGGCTGACATTGCTCATTGTATTCCAGGAAGCATTGTTTAGGCCTCATTGTGTGTGTGTGTGTGTGTGTGTGTGTGTGTGTGTGTGTGTGTGTGTGTGTGTGTGTGTGTGTGTGTGTGTGTGTGTGTGTGTGTGTGTGTGTGTGTGTGTGCCAGTGCCAATCCTGGGGCTTGAACTCAGGGCCTGGACTTTGTCTCTAAGATTTTCCTTCCTGGGGCTGGGAAGGTGGCTCAGTGGTAGAATGCTTGCCTTGCATGCATGAGGCCCTGGGTTGGATTCCTCAGCACCACATAAGCAGAAAAAAGCTGGAAGGGGTGCTATGGCTCAAGTGGTAGAGCACTAGCCTTGAGCTGGAGTTGAGGGACAGTGCCCAAGCCAGAGTTCAGGCCCCTTGACCGACCAAAAAAAAAAAAAAAGATTTTCCTTCCTTCCTTCCTTCCTTCCCTCCTTCTCTTTTCTCCCTCCCTCCCTCCCTTCCCTCCCTCCCTCCCTCCCTCCCTCCCTTCCTTCCTTCCTTCCTTCCTTCCTTCCTTCCTTCCTTCCTTCCTTCCTTCCTTCCTTCCTTCCTTCCTTCCCTTTCCTTCCTTCCTTTCTTTCTCTTTCTTTCTTTCTTTTGTTCCCAGTCTTGGAACTTGAACTCAGGGTTTGGGTGCTGGCCCTGACCTTCTTTGTACTCAAGGCTAGGGCTCTACCACTTTAGCCACAGCACCATTTTTTACTTTCTCGACTTTCTTGCTTGGGCTGGCTTCAAACTGTAATCCTCAGATCTCCCTCTCCTGAGTAGCTAGGATTACAGGTTTGAGCCATCAGTGTGACCAGGTAGCTTTTATAAATATAATCTTATTGTTATTTTTAAGGTGTTATATAGAAGGGTTACCATTTCATAAGTCGAGTAATGAGTACATTTCTTTTTGGGCTATGACCCTAGCTTTTTTGCTCAAAGTTAATGCTGTACAACTTAAGGCACAGCTCCACTTCAGCTTTTTATAGTATGTAACTGGAGATATGAATCTCAGGGACTTTCCTGCTTAGGGTGGCTTCAAACCATGATTCTCAGTTCTTAGGCTCCTGAATAGCTAGGATTACAAGTATGAACCATTGGCACCAGCTTTAAGGTTAATTAGTACACTTATTTTAAGACAGAGTCTCACTATGTAGCACATGCGATCTTCATACTCTTCAATCCTGCCTCAACCAGTTCTGACTGCTGAGATTACAAGTATGTACTTCCAAACCCTAAATTTTTCCCTACTCTGAAAACCTAATTAGAAAATACTTGCTATTTCAAGAGCTGGGAATGTGGCTTAGTGGCAGAATGTTTGTCTAGCATGCGTGAAGCTCTGGGTTTGATTCGTCAGTACCACATAAACAGAAAAAGCTGGAAGTGGCACTGTGTCTCAATTGGTAGAGTGCTAGCCTTGAGCAAAAAAAGCTCAGGGACAGCACCAGGCCTGAGTTCAAGCCTCAGGGCTGGCCAAAAAAAAAAAAAAAAAAAGAAAGAAAGAAAAGAAAAAGAAAATATTTGCTATTTTAGTCTCTTCACATATGAGACTAATAAATGAAGTGTTTTTTTGTTTTTTTTTTGTTTGGTCATGGGGCTTGAACTCTGGACACTGTCCCTCAGCTTTTCAGCTCAAGGTGAGTGCTCCACCACTTGAGCCACATTGCCACTTCCAGTTTTCTGGTGGTTTATTGGAGATAAGAGTCTCTTGGAGTTTCCTGCCCAGGCTGGCTTTGAACCATGATCCTCAGATCTCAGCCTCCTGAGTAGTGAGGATTACAGGCGTGAGCCACCGGCGCCCGCTGAAGTATTTGAAAATAAATGAGTTGGGACTGGGAATGTGGCTTAGTGGTAGCGTGCTTGCCTAGCATGTATGAAGCCATGGATTTGAATCCTCAGTATCACATAAAAAAGTAGTAGAGTGCTAGCCTTGAGCACTCTACTTGCCACTAAGCTCAGGGACAGTGGGGAGGCCCAGAGTTCAAGCCCCGGGACTGGCAAAAAAAAAAAAGGAAGGAAGGAAGGAAAGAGATGAATTTATCTAGAATATTTTACACATTTTATTGTCTTTCTCACTTTTTTTTTTTTTGGTCGGTCGTGGGGCTTGAACTCTGGGCCTGGGTGCTGTCCCTCAGCTCTTCAGCTCAAGGCGAGCGCTCTACCACTTGAGCTACAGTGCCACTTCCGGTTTTCTGGTGGTTTATTGGAGATAGGAGTCTCACGGTCTCTCCTGCCCGGGCTGGCTTTGAACCGCGATCCTCAGATCTCAGCCTCCTGAGTAGCTAGGATTACAGGTGTGAGCCACCAGCGCCCGGCTCTTTCTCACTTCTTAATCATCAGAGCCAACTGAATTGGTCCTTAATGTGAGTTTATATATATATATATATATATATATATATATTTTTTTTTTTTTTTTTTTTGTCGGTGGCGGGGCCTGAACTCTGGGCCTGGGCGCTGCCCTAGCTCTTCAACTCAAGGCTAGTGCTCTACCACTTGAGCCATAGCACCATTTCCAGCTTTTACTACTTATGTGGTACTAAGGAATGGAGCCCAGGGCTTCATGCATGCAAGGCAAGCCACCTTCCCAGCCCCTAAAATATATACCTTTTAAAACTTCACAGAGGTCAGTTGGGTGCCGGTGGCTAACACCTGTAATCCTAGCTACTCAGGAGGCTGAGATATTAAGGATCATAGTTAGAAGCCAGGACAGGAAAGAAATTCTGAGATTCTTAGGGCCAATCAAACACCAAAAAAAGCCAGAAGTAGAGCTGTGGCTCAAGTTGTAGTACGCAAAAGCTCAGGTGCAACACCAAGGGCCCCTGAGTTCAAGCACCAGGACTTACATACATACCAAAAACCCTTCACAGGTGATCATCTTCTTCCTCCTCTTTCTCCTCCTCTTCCTTTTCCTTCTTCTGCCTCTTCCTCTTCTTCCTCTTCCTCTTCTTCCTTTTCTTCTATACAAAAAACCTTCACAGATCTTCCTTTTTTTTTTTTTTTCTTTGTTGGTCGTGGGGCTCAAGCCTGGGCGCTGTCCCTCAGCTCTTCCACTCAAGGTTAGCACTGTATCACTTGAGCCACAGCGCCACTTCTGAATTTTTCTGCTTATGTGGTGCTGAGGAATCGAACCCACCGCTTTATGCATGCAAGGCAAGCACTCTATCACTGATCCACCTTCCCAGCCCTGAGGTGTTGTTTTTTTTTTTTTTTTTGTTGGTCATGGGGCTTGAACTCTTGGTTTGGGCACTGTCCCTGCACTTTTCGACTCAAGGCTAGCGCTCTACTGCTTGAGGCACATCACCATTTCCACTTTTCTGGTGGTTTATTGGAGATAAGAGTTTCACGGACTTTCCTACCCAGGCTGGCTTTGAACCGTGATCCTCAGCTTTCAGCCTCCTCAGTAGCTAGGATTACAGGCATGAGCCACTGGCGCCCAGCCTGAGGTTTTTGTTTTTTATATTTTTGCCGGTCCTATTGAATTCAGGGTTTGGGCACTGTTTGTGATCTTTTGTGCTCAACTCTAGTGTTTTACCACGTGAGACACAGCTCCATTTCTGGCTTTTTGGTGGGTTAATTGGAGATAAGAGTCTCATGGACTTGCCTCTTGAATAGCTGGGAGTACAAGTACAAATGTAAGCCACTGAGGGGCTGTGTGTGTGTGTGTGTGTCTGTGTGTGTTTGTGTGTGTGTGTGTGTGTGTGTGTGTGTGTGTGTTTATTTTTGTCAGTTGTAGAGCTTGAACTCAGGGCTTAGACACTGTCTCTGAACCTTTTCACTCAAGTAAGGCTAATATTCTACTACTTTGAGCCACAGTGCTACTTCCAGTTTTCTGATGGTTAATTGGAGATGAGAGTCTCACGGACTTTCCTGCTTAGGCTGGCTTTGAACTGTGATGCTCGGCTCTTAGCCTCCTGAGTAGCTAGGAATATAGGCATGAGCCACCATTGCCTGGTGGAGTTTACTCTTATGGAACTTTTATATCGTCTTATATAGGCTTTAATTAAAATTACATTATTAAGTGGAATTAGGGGCACATGGCTCATGCCTGTAATCCCAGCTATCTCCAATAAAATACTAAAAAAAAGCCAGAAGTGGAGCTTTTGCTCAAGTGGTAGAATACTAGCTCAAAGACAGCACCTAGGCCCTGAGTTCAAACACCAGTACCAGAAAAAAAAAAAAGTAGAATTAGGGCAATTTTGTTATGCAAGGTGTATCAGGAAAAAGTACAGCAAATTTTAGTGTGACTATATCATAAGACTCATGAATAGCTCTACTTCTGAACAAAATATCAAAAATCAGTTTTCATTTGTAAAAATTCTGTTACTGCTGGGTGCTGAATGCTCACAATTGTAATACTAGCTACTCAGGAGGCTGAGAGTTCGAAGCCAGTTCAGGCAGAAAAATCCATCAGATTCCATTTCCTTAATAACCAGCAAAAAGCAAGGTTGTAAATGTGACTGAAGTGGTCTACTGATGGGTAAATAAGACCCTGAGTTTAAACCCCAACATCACCCCCCCCAAAAAAAAAAACAAACTGTTACAATGGCTTTTCTCAGATAACTACCAAATTGAGCTTGTTGACTGAATATATCTTTATTGTATCTATTTTCTATTTTTAAGTGGATGTATGATTACTTGATACCTTTGAGGGTCTGTAAGTAATTAAGTTTTAGCAGGAGTTGTGACACATACCTGCAGTCCCATCACTTGAGTGGTTTGAGAAAGGAAGATGAAGAATCAGAAGCTGGTATCCAGTGAATTCAAGGCAGCCTGCAGTATAGAATGAAACCTTGTCTCAAAACAAAAAAACAAAGGAAAAGAGTTAAGTTCTTTAAAGAGTGGCATAATATTCTTAGTTCTTACTTAGGTCTGCTTATGTTTTGCAGCTGAAAACAAGTATGCAGGAGGGAATCCAGTTTGTGTACGCCCAATTCCCAAGTGGCAAAAAGGAATTGGAGAATTCTTCAGTATGTCTCCTAAAGGTTCAGAAAAAGAAAATCAGATTCTTGAAGAGGCAGGACCGAGTGGCTTAGGAAAAGCAAAGAAAAAGTAAGTTTTTGGGTTTTGAATATAAAAGAAAATATTCTTTGGGAAATACAGGACAAACAGAATATTGAGTAACATTTCTTTTCAAGCCAATAAGAAAATACAAACCGGGGCTGGGAAGGTGGCTCAGTGGTAGAGTGCTTGCCTTGCATGCATGAGGCCCCGGGTTCGATTTGTCAGCACCACATAAGCAGAAAAAAAAAAAGAGAGAGAGAGAGAATCAAGCCGGGCACCAGTGGCTCACGTCTGTAATCCTAGCTACTCAGGAGGCTGAGATCTGAGGATCACAGTTCAAAGCCAGCCTGGGCAGGAAAGTCTGTGAGACTCTTATATCCAGTAAACCACTAGAAAACCTGAAGTGACATTATGGCTCAATCGGTAGAGTGCTCACCTTGAGCTGCAGAGCTGAGGGATAGCACCTAAGCCCACAGTTCAAGCCTCAGGACTGACAAAAACAAAAAGAGAATCAGTTCCCATTCAGGTAACTGCTACATTTTTTTTTAACTGTCATTTTAGAAGACAGTTTCCATTTATCTTGAATTCCATTAAATTGCCTGCATCTTAAAGAATAAAAGCTTGGAGCCTGGTGCCAATGGCTCACGCCTGTGATCCTAGCTACTCAGGAGGCTGAGATCTGAGGATCATCGTTCAAAGCCAACCCGGGCAGGAAACTCCGTGAAACTCTTATCTCCAATAAACCACCAGAAAACCAGAAGTGGTGCTGTAGCTCAAGTGGTAGAGTGCTAGCTAGCCTTGAGCTGAAGAGCTGAGGGACAGCACTCAGGCCGAGTTCAAGGCCCACAACTAATTTAAAAAAAAAAAAATTAAAAAAAAAAAGCAAGAATAAAAGCTTGCTGGGCACTGGTGGCTCACACCTGTAATCCTAGCTACTCAGAAGGCTGAGATCTCAGGAAAACCCTTCAGAGCCAGCCTGGGCAGGAAAGTCTGTGAGATTCTTATCTCAAATTAACCACCAGAAAACCGGAAATGGTGCTGTGGCTCAAGGAGTAAAACACTCACCTGGAGCTAAAGAGCTGAGGGAAAGCTCTCAAGGCCCACAACCGACCAAAAAAGAAAACAAAAGAAAAACAAGAATAAAGCTGTTAGTTAGGGCCTGTGGTTTAGCCTTCACTTAGTATTCATGGTGTTCTGGGTTCAATCTCCAGCACCAAAATAAGGTTTTTTTTTTTGTCGGTCACGGGACTTGAACTCTGGGCCTGGGCGCTGTCCCTCAGCTCTTCAGCTCAAGCTGAGCACTCTACCACTTGAGCTACAGCGCCACTTCTGGTTTTCTGGTGGTTTATTGGAGATAGGAGTCTCACAGTCTTTCCTGCCTGGGCTGGCTTTGAACCGCGATCCTTAGATCTCAGCCTCCTGAGTAGCTAGGATTACAGGCGTGAGCCACCAGCGCCCGGCTTCCAGCACCAAAATAAGAAGAAACCACCAGTTGAAAGCCACTCCCCCCCAAATATATATCTTATACATATAATGCAATGTGTGTATAGATACACATAATATATACACAATGTATGAATATATATACAATGTAGAAAAAATGAAATATAGAAATTCCTACCACTAGGGGCTGGGAAGGTGGCTCAGTGGTAGAGTGCTTGTCTTGCATGGTTGAGGCCCTGGGTTCAATTCTCAGCACCACATAAGCAGAAAAAGCCGGAAGTGGTGTTGTGGCTCAAGTGGTAGAGGGCTAGCCTTGAGCTGAAGAGCTGAGGGACAGCGTTCAGGCCCCAAGACTGGCAAAAAAAAAAGAAAGAAAGAAATTCCCCCCCAAAAAAGAAAGAAAGAAATCCCTACCACTAGAAACAACTAAAACTAATACCATAATGTATTTACTTTACAACTTCTTTATAAATACTCTAGAATACTTCAAAACAAAAAGCAAAGCAGGGTACTGGTGGCTCATGCCTGTAATCCTAGCTACTCAGGAGGCTGAGATCTGGGGATCACAGTTCAAAGCCAGCCTGGGCAGGAAAGTCCATAGAAACTATCTCCAATTAACCACCAGAAAACCAGAAGTGATGCTATGGCTCAAAGTGGTAGAGAGCTAGGTTTGAGTGAAAAAGCTCAGGGACAGCGCCCAAGCCCTAAGTTCAAGCCCTACAATTGGAGAAAAATAAAAAAAAAGGAGAGATAAAACTATATATACTGAAAAAAAAAACAAAAAAAAAAACTATATATACTGACCAGTATGCAGACTTTTTAGAGGCTGAGGGTTGAGTGTTTTGCTCAATGGCAAAGCATTGGTCTAGTATATTCAAGGTCCTGGGTTCAATCCCCACAATTGTATGGAAATAATAATAAAAAATATGAATATGAATCATGCTTTTTTTTTTTTTTGGTCCAGTGTGGGGCTTGAACTCTGGGCCTGGGTGCTGTCCCTCAGCTCTTAACAAGTGCTCTACAACTTGAGCCACAGCGCCACTTCCAGTTTTCTGGTGGTTAATTGGAGATAAGACTCTCACAGACTTCCCTGTCTGGGCTGGCTTTGAACCATATTCTAATATCTCAGCCTCCTGAATAGCTAGGATTACAGGCGTGAGCTACTAGCACCTGGCTGAATCATGCTTTTAAAGTCTTTAATGACTTGCAAATGCCCGTGATAAATGTTAAGACACACATTCTGGACATAATTGTCCAATCCTGACTGTGTAAAATGCACATGTGAGTGCTATATGAAAATATAACAGCTAGATGCTGGTAGCTATCGAGATTCAAAGCCAGCCTGGGCAGCAAAGAATGTGAGACTCATCTCCAATTAACTATCTAAAAACTAGAAGTGGAGCTGTGGCTCAAAGTGGTAGAGTTCTAGCCTTGAGCAAAAAAAAGAAATTCAGGGAGAGTGCCCAGGCCCTGAGTTAAAGCCCTATGATTGACCCCCATTCCCCCAAAAAAGGCAAGAAAATATAACAAGTATCGGTCATGGTTATTTTTAGGTAAAAACCTCCTCTTGTACTTAGTGCTGCTAACTTGCAACAACAAGCATGTATTTTCAGTATCAAGTAAAAAGCTGGGCACTGTTGGCTCATGCCTGTAATCTTAGATCAGGAGGTTGAGATCTGAGGATGAAAGTTTGAAGCTAGCCCAGGAAAACAAATCCTCGACTCGTCTCCAATTAACCAGCAAAAAAAAAAAAAAAAGTGAAGCCGGGCGCTGGTGGCTCACTCCTGTAATCCTAGCTATTCAGGAGGCTGAGATCTGAGGACTGCGGTTCAAAGCCAGCCCGGACAGGAGAGACCGTGAGACTCCTATCTCCAATAAAAACCACCAGAAAACCGGAAGTGGCGCTGTAGCTCAAGTGGTAGAGCGCTCGCCTTGAGCTGAAAAGCTGAAGGACAGCGCCCAGGCCCAGAGTTCAAGCCCCACGGCCGACAAAAAAAAAAAAAAAGTGAGCTGGTGATACACAGTTCAAGTGGTAAAGCCCTAATACCAACACACACAGACATGCAAAATTACTAAAAAGATAAAGATGGGCTGGGAAGGTGGCTCAGTGGTAGAGTGCTTGCCTCTCATGCATGAAGCTCTGGGTTGGATTCCTCAGTATCACATAAACATAAAAAGTTGAAAGTGGTGATGTGGATTAAGTGGTAGAGTGCTAGACTTGAGCAAAAAGAAGCATTAGGGATGGTGCTTAGGCCCTGAGTTCAAGCCCCAGGACTGGCAAAAAAAAAAAAGACGAAGATGTAGCTCAAGGGTAATGTGCTTATTTACCATGAGCAAGGCCCTGGGTTTGTTCTTCAGCATTAAAAAAAAAAAAAAAATTGCCGGGTGCTGGTGGCTTACACCTGTAATCCTAGCTACTCAGGAGGCTGAGATCTGAGGATCACAGTTCAAAGCCAGCCCGGGTAGGAAAGTCTGTGAGACTCTTTTGTTTGTTTGTTTGTTTGTTTTTTGGGTCCGGTCATGGGGCCTGAACTCTGGTCCTGCGCGCTGTCCCTAAGCTCTTCAGCTCAAGGCTAGCCCTCTACCACTTGAGCCAAGTCGCCACTTCTGGCTTTTTTCTTTTTGCTTATGTGATGCTGAGGAATCGAACCCAGTGCCTCTGGCATGCAAGGCAAGCACTCTACCACTGAGCCACCTTCCCAGCCCGTCTGTGAGACTCTTATCTCCAATAAACCAGAAGTGGCGCTATGGCTCAAGCAGTAGAGTGCTTGCTTTGAGCTGAAGAGCTGAGGGACAACGCCCAAGCCCAGAGTTCAAGCCCCACAACCCACCAAAAAAAAAAAAAAAAATTTTTTTTTAAAGACTTGGAATGTGGCTTAGTGGTGGCGTGCTTGCCTAGCATGTAGGAAGCCCTGGGTTCAATTCCTCAGTACCATATACACAGAAAAAGCTGGAAGTGGCCCTGTGGCTTAAGAGATAGTGTGCTAGACGTGAACCAAAGAAGCTCAGAGACAGGGTCCAGACCCTGAGTTGAAGCCCCAGGACTGGCCAAAAAAAAAAAAAATCTGGAGGAAAAATTCTGCAATGTGTCTTTTCATAGGTTTATTAAACAATAGGACCCAACCTCTCTAAGTTGCTTTTAAAATGTTTTCTTTAAAGGCTGTGTATTTGACTAGGTGCAGGAGGGAAGGGTATAGCACTATGTCACTGTCAATTGTGATGCCCCTTGCATATGACAGCTTTGCCACCTCCACAGTTGCCAGGAACCATAAGATCTGTCAACCCACCAAGCAGCAAGCTGTACATAGCACATCTACCCACAAGGGTAAGAAGATGGGGACTAGGCTCATCCTAGGGCTGCTAATTCTGACACTGGTTCTTCCCATGTAGATTTACTTATATGTTCCTTTAGTCAGCACACCAGGTGCTACATATTGCGTCCACATAGCCTTCCCTTCCAGCAGTTTCCTTAAAATTGCTTCAGCCACTCTCCCAATGGTGTTACTTGCCCTTCTGTATCTCATCTGGTAAGAGACTCAGGCTAATACATATTCTGAAACACAACCCAATGGCACCTACAAGTCCTGTTGCCAAGAAAAATGAAA